TATAGAGAAAGTACATGTCATGTCTGTTTCGTACCTTTCGGTTTCGGATGACAAGAGACTTCAATAAATAGATTAGCGATCGTTTCTCAGTAATGGTCAGGCATTTGGCGAACTGTCTCTTAACGTACACCAAATTCATCCATTCGTCTTGACATCCATTTCTAGTTTCTCTAACCTTCCAACCAATGAACTGATGGTCAATGAGTTGATAACAGTATTCCTTCACTACTTTGTCATTTGAAGAGCTCGTAAACCAAGAGGTGTTGGGATACACCAAATCTTCCATTACTATTATGGGTCGCGAGACGTGATATCCCGGATCTAAGAGAACATATCCCTCTCTCTTGCCTTCAATGCAGATCTTAATGCAGACCAAACAGTGCTCTTTGACATTATTGGGCGATTGCATGCTATACGCGCCGACATCTTTCACCGATTCCTCACACGAGACCAAAGCTATAGATCGACTAAACCTGGTATACATTTGACGCAATTTGCGAATCAATGAAATTGAAAGCCCGACACACGACAGACTGTCTCTCGATATACGACTCTTATAGTTGGATACAAAGTCTAACAGAGGAAGTGATTTGTTGCTCTTTTTTGCTTTTTTAAAGTTTTGATAGAATTGGAGGAAAGAATTGAATGTATTGTATTCATAGGATAGGAGCTGTTGTTGTAATAGATTCTCGCATTCAATCATAAACTCTTCAAAGTGTACCAAAGTGTCAAACTTTGCTTCTGTCAGCTCGTAGGACCAAACGGGAACATCCAATACCTGCTCGACAGTCGACTCATCGCCCAACCATACGTCCACTGCTTGTGTGTCTCGACAGGCAGTGGCGGACGCAATGTGTTGGCCATTAAGTCAAGACGGCCACTCTGACACCAGCCGTCCAACAATACTCAATGGGTTCGCCGCCGACTCGACCAACACTTTATCATTGAGTAGAGATAAGGCCTCGAAGTTGTCTTCCTCTGACACCGTATCTATCGATAAGAATTTGCTTTCAAATTAAATACTTTCAAAAATAATAATTGATTTAAATGCAGATACGAACCCATTGTTTGGATATAAAACCCAAATGAAGTCCTTTATAGAAATGATTGCGTATTTCTTCTCTTCCTTTATATAAGATATGTATTGAGTTTATGCGATGCGACGACTCCTGACTCCTAAGTCCTTAGAGTTCAGACTCGGTTCTCGTTGTTATGCAATAATACAACACATAGAGAGAGAGTCAACACAATATTAAACTTCATTCACTTGACTCTCTGTCGGCTAAAAGCTTAACACGTATTCAAAGATTCAAATTACACTTGTATTCAAAACATTGGTTTTGTATTATATTTTTCTCAACTTTTTAGTGGAATAGGAGTTGAGTTCAGAAATTGTAAATTATTTGAATATTTAACAAGAAATTAGATATATATTAAAGTTTGTACTTTATTTCAGAATTCAAACAAATATAATTTAATACATTTTTATAAATTCTATGTATTATTTTGTACTAAAAAGTAATAGATTATATATCAATATGTAATTAAATCATTGGATTTGAATGTTTGTTCATATTTGTAAAAATTCAAACATGTAAAAACGTAAATATTATAATTAGACAAAACATTAATGAAATCAAATAATATTCAGCCCTTAATCCAGTATAAATTGCCGCAAGAGCTTAAGCTTATTTTACTGTATAACTAGAATACTTTGTTTTTTAATAAACACAACTGTATTAAGAAAAATGCTATTAAAAGAGAAAAACAATAAATAAGAATAATATGAAAAAGAGAAAAAATGTAATAATAATAATATCTTTGAATTTTAATAAATAATGGCAAGAAATGAAAAGAATTGTCAGTTCATTGTTCTCAATAGGGGTTGAGTTGCCGTTAATAGAGTTAATGACAAATACTGGCAATAATTAATGAGCGAATTCGTTATTCGGACACTCAATTGTATAATTAATTTTTCTAACCAATTGTATGTTGAAGTATTACATGAAATTATCATGGTATCGATTATACAGTACAGTATGTTCGACAACTTCTTTACCTGTGCTTAAAAATCAGTACCCAAACTATTTTAGGCCCTAAAGTATACAGTTTGGGACCCGTATAGTGTATGAGTGGTTAAGTATGCGTTTGTATTTATCATATTTTCTTATAAAGCATAGAAAATGGGAGACAAAGCCGTGAGAAAGTGAATGTAAAACTTTGTACAGATGTGCTCCCAGTGTCTCGCATACAGTGGCGCACAATTGAGTATAGAATAGGTATTCTAGAGCTTACGCTGTAAAGCAGCTCTGGTTTGTTTGCAGACCCGATTGACTGCTTCCCAAATGACAAATGGAAAATATATATTACTTTAGTTGTCACTTTGATCATGATAAATGCGAAACACTGTTTCGATATTTTATGTTAACAATTAAATCCTTTTAGTTATGCATTATTTCCCAATGATATGGTACTTACATAATGTCAGTACAACTTAATTCAAGCAGTTTTATAACATTTGTTCAAAAAATGAACTCAATTTCAATTGTATTAAATTATTTAGAAAATTCGATGAATAATAAATATATAGTTTTAAAAAATCAATTGACTATAAAAAATGATTTTTTTGTATTAAATAAATAAATTCAAGTATTGTTTATTCTCTTTCTCGAAAAATTGTTGCATTAATTAGCAATAAATCATTTATTCAATTGCATAATCTTAAATCGAGGTCTGAATTGTTATTTTAGGTCACTATTTGTAATTTATTTAAAACATTTCTTTAATACAATAATGGTTTGAACAAAAAATCTAATGGTTTTCATTTTGATTTCAATGAGTAGAAATTTCATTTCAAACTATATTTAACATAATGCTGTCGAACCACACTATAAGAAACGGTCAGTTTCTTTGTTAAACACTATTTCTATAAGAAATCACTTAATGTTATTAACCATATCGACCATGATTAAAAAGGCAACTTTTAACAACTATTTCAAAATATTATTGTAAAAAATAGCATTAACTGTACTAAAGCTTGATGTCGTGTGAAATGGTATATCCAGTTATTATGTCACATATATATGAGAGTAGGGTTTATTTCAAAGCTTTCAATACAATGTGCTTTCATTGGATCTATGACACTTTTTCGAAAGACATTTTTTCGAAAGACATTTTTCGAAAAATTATAAAAGCTTTCAGTGATAAAACTTTCGGTAAACAAGCTTTTTGTAATAAAGCTTTCTGTGATAAAGCTTCCCTTCGTGAAAAAATGGGCAGTGGCAGTTATTTAACATGTACATACAAAATATATTGTAGTCAATGTAGAATTCATCGATGAGTTTGAATCTGAAATTCAAAATGTTCTATCTCGAATATATTTCGAGTTATTCGGCATAGAAGTTCTTATAACGAATATTTTAAAATAGCTGAATTTATTAATATGATATATGCGTTCGATGTAGAATTTAACACTTATTTTGAATCTGAAATTTAAAATTGTCAACTTCAAATATATTTAAAGTTATTCAAATTTTAACATTTTAAAGTCGAATAGTTCGAAAACTATAGATTAAATTTTGAAACCGATCTGATTATATTAACCAGCGTTAAATTCTACATCAAATGCATTTATCATATTAATAAATTCAGCCATTTTAAAATTTTCGTTATAAAAACTTCTATGCCGAATAACTCGAAATATATTAGAGATAGAACATTTTGAACCTAACCTACCTTAAACTAACTTATAATAACTTGATTAATGATGTTATTAGTAAAAATTGAATTAAATTATACAAATTTCATTTAAAATTAATTAATAAAACTTTTTTTACAGAAAGCTTTTTCACAGAAAGCTTTATTACAGAAAGCTTTATTACAGAAAGCTTTATTACAGAAAGCTTTAAGTGTCTACAAACCCTTTTATTCACTGTTAGTCTGATATACAGTATACTACACGTATTGTATGGCATTGNTTCGAAAAAGTGTCTACAAACCCTTTTATTCACTGTTAGTCTGATATACAGTATACTACACGTATTGTATGGCATTGTCTCCCTCTATGAGTGTCTATTGACCTAAAGTTGTTAAAAGTTGCCTTTTTAATCATGGTCGATATGGTAAACTATTATTTCTACCTAAGAGTTGCTTAACGAAAGGTTCGACAGCATAAAGAAATTAAGCGGTTTTTACATTAAGTTATTTATAAATCTTTTCGTTATAATATTGCTCTCAAAATATTTGAATTAATTAATTTCCGAAACAGAATGAAAACATTTGTATAGAAAGGCGGAGGAGATTGACATCAGTCTTAATGCAGACTTCAAATGTTATTATAAATATTTATAATTATACAAACCATTAAAATTTAATATCATTATTGATACCAAAATAATTATTAAAACTAATGTAATAGTTACTAATGTATTGAATAGATAACCAAAAATTACATAATTATTAATATATTCCCTCTTTTATACTGTTGTAAAATTCATTACATTTTTTATATTAAAGTTGGGATCGGATCAGGAAAATAGTGTTTTTAACCCCTATATTACATACAGTAACTATAGTTTAACATATAAAAGATTAACGATTTAACTGTTCAGAACTTTCATTGATTAATAAATGCAAAATAACAAACATTAATGTATTGAGCAATGAATGCCGTTCTTGTGATGTAAATCATTGAGTTAATCAAAGAATAAGTAAATATATACAACATTTCTCAATCCGAACCTCATTTCGCATTCCGATAAATATTTACTCTAAATTGTGTTTTACTTTTCAAAAATATTATTCAATTCAATATTCTGCTCAATAGTACGATAGAAATATTTTGTTGTTCAAAAGAGAAAACTGAATAAATGTGAATTCATAGAAACATTCATAGAAAACTAAACATGATCATATTTTGAATGAAATACAATATACGGTAGTATTGTATCTGAAAGCGGATGTATTCACAAACTGATTGAACGAGAAGTGAGAAATGTTTGAGATATGGATATCTGTTGAAATGATGGTCAAAGTGTTATATATTGGCATCATTTAGAAGTTTGTTCTCTCAATAAATAGTCTTCAAAAGTTCGTGAGGTTTTTAACACACATGCGATAGACTTGTTATTACTGTTATGTTCTGCTCTAGTCTTGGCTTCATTTAGACCGAAGTGCATGTTTTCATGAACTTCAGCTCCAGTCGTCCCCTCCTATTAGAGAGCGCGTACAGTATAGCACTGTAAAGCATTGCACTGTAGTGTATAGTGTACAGCATAGCTATGACCAAGGTAAGCTATTGCTACAAAGTAAAGTAAGCTTAAAAAGTGCTGCACGAGCTGAGAGAAGTGGCCCGGAGTGTGACAGCTGGGGCTCCTATACTCACACGCAGACAGTCTTGGGATCGCAAGACATGGCAGCAATTGGTGTATGAATTGGTGTATGAATTGGTGGTATTGTATGGTTTGGCCGTAATTTGTGGCGATAGGAGGGCTGAGTGTGTGGAGGGAAGGGGGGATCGGAGCCGAAGGTAACACCTGTTGACTAAGTTTTGCGAGAAAAACAGGTTTTGTATGTTTTTGTGTGCTTTGAAAGAGTGGTTTTGAGTGCACTGCAGAGTCTACTCAAGAGAGCGACTGTACGATAGGCTGAGCGTTGAATGTATAGCGAGTTTCCAAACTGTAAGCTTAGGTCAAGACATAGCTGTAGTGTATTTGTGAGATGTCCTGCCATTCGAGTGCTGCCAAGTGTTGGCAATAGTGAACGAGTCGACGGATTGAGCTCTTGTACTGCAATACTGTATGCATATTATGTGCACAACTGGTCCAACCACTGCCACCACTGCCACCACTGCCACCACTGCCACCACTGCCACCACTGCCTGCATCCCCACGACATACCTGGGCTGCCATTGCCTTCACTATTGAAGGTTGACTTCACTCCACACAGTGTTGTCTTCGCTATTGAAGACGTTTGTGACTAACAATTGTCGTCCATTTGTTGATAATCACCAAAACTCCCATTAATTGCTTGTTATGGCCGGCAATCGCACCAAAGGATTGTTGGGTTCATCTATTTATTGCTTCATTTGCATCACTATTTCATATCTATTAAATGGTAAGTCATTTACAACTCTTTGGATCAATGCTTGTATCAA